TTTGCGCTGCCAGCAATTCTGTCTTCCAGGCTCGTTGGAGAATCTCTCTCCGCTACCTGTGTGGTAGCAGTATCTGCATTGCCAGGTACGATCATCACTGCCCATGGGTACTGCTGATCCGCGATGGCTGCCCAAGATCTCGCAGTCTCTCGGATGGCGCAGCCTGCGCCTGGCCGCGGCGCGCTAGCGCCGCTGGGCCCTATGCCACGCGGACGAGGGTGATCGCGCGCCCGTGGTGGTGGCGGTCGCCCCGAGGGCTGGGGTCACGGTCTGTCGGGCTGGCCCGAAAGGAGGCGCCTCGGACCACAACGCCTAGGAGGAGGAGGAGGAGGAGGAGGAGGAGGAGGAGGAGGAGGAGGAGGAGGAGGAGGAGGAGGAAAACGGGTTTTTTGCCTGGAGGGGCGCGGGGGATCGGGGAGGGGAAACGAGGGGGCTCCATCGCCTTCGCGTGGGCCCGAAAGGGCCGAGGGGGGGGTCAGAGGGTTCACTTTCCCCTCGGCCTGCCGGGCTCGCTGCCGGAGCACCTGTCCCATCAAGAACGCAGCAATGTTGTAGCGCCCTCGGGAGGTGATTCTCTAATGGCGCCGACTCTGCAGGGGCTTCCCAACCCTTCCTTTGCAACCCTAACTACGGTATGCTGCCCACACGCGCAGCAAAAAAGGGCTCCCCCCACTCCTCTTTGGACCCCGTGGGAGCTGTGGATCTCACTCCCGAAGCAAACCGAAGGTGGGGCCGCCAAAAGCTTCTCTGGGCGCGGAGCCCGGAGGACATCAAAACAAATGTTTCTCCCCGTGCGTCCGTCACGCTGGGAACACGGCTAAAAACTCTTATGTGGGTCGGCGCTGGACTAACCTCCCTTTAGTAGACCTCCCCTTAGTGAAAACGGCCTGGGGCCGAAACCGACGGACCTGGACCCGCAGAAACGGCGGCCGCGACGCCCCCTCGCGAACCGAACACGGCCAATTCCTTCATCGACGTGTCAGGGTAGGAGGTCTGTCCACCCCCGAGTGGGTTAGGCGCCTGGTGCTCTGCCTGCGTCAGACCTCTCGACATCGCTCGGACGTTTATTTTTTGTATGTTTTTTCGGTGTCGTGCGTGATTTTCTCGCCAAATGATCAAGGATGCTCCTCGATGGCCCTCGCCGAGAAAAAATGCACACGTCCGAGCGATGCCAAGGTCAGGTATCTGGTGCTCTGCCTCCGTCAGACCTTCGTGGAGCTTCTCAAGGCGCTGCGGGCCGCCGCGGGGGCCTCGGGCCGCGCCGCCCTCGGGGGCTCGCGGCGGAGGCGGGGAGCGGAGACGAGCCGAGTGTCCGGCGGCGCAGCGGCGAGGCACCGACGAACCTTGGAGGCCACCGCCTGGACGTGACTGCCTGCCAGACCACCCCAAACCAACCCGAAGACCCGAATTTCGGGTTGGGGCGGATATGGGTTCCATACAGTCGGGGCGCTGACCTAAGGAACCAACAATAAGGAACAAGGCCCCTTTTTCCCATAAGTTAACCTTCGATTTCCCGTCGAAAACCTAAGGACAACCTGAGGCAAGCTGCGAAAAAATTAAGGAACGCGGAGCCCCTCCCCAACGAAAAGGGTTCCTTCTTCAGGGCCCCGACTGTGCCCGAAGACCCGAACTTCGGGTTGGGGGGGGTATGGGTTCCACACGTGTTTTTTCGATGTTCCCCGACCCCCCCCCTGGAAATGGATGGCAAATTGAGGCCGTCGGGTTGGGTTGGGTGGTTTGGCAGGTGGTGATGGACCAGACCAGCACCAGCAATTTGAGCGTAGGGCAGCTGAGCCTCCTCCGCCCTCAGGCCAGCAAGCTCGTCGGCTTGCCTGTTGGTCTGCCAGTGCACACGTGAAAATCCTTTGCTCACGGCTGCATCCGCGGAGAGGTGGGACTCGACCCAGAAGACTTCGACTTGAGCTCGAGAACTATTTCTGATAACCTCGTCGATACCAGCGCAGCCCGCTCGATTCGAATCAGGCATGACACCTCGACGCAGCTTGTGAACATTCCTCTGCACATAACTACTGTCGGTGATGTAAACTCGGGTCACGTGGGGAGTTTAAGGCACGGCCGCTCGCAGGAAAACCAGGGATGCCCTGAACTCTACACGGTTGATCGGCTGCCTCAAATCTACAGGCCCTCCACAGGAAGCTAATTATCTGAAGTTGTCAGGGTGCGTGTGGGGACCGTCCTGGAAGCGGCACACAGCCCATCCTTCTCTCCCCAGCAGCGAGTCCGAAGAGTGATCCCCCCGCTGGCGTCGCCAGCTCCAAGAACAACACCAGAAGGGCACGAGAGGTCCCAAGAGGAGGGGTCGAGGCCTGGAGCAGGAGGATCATCGGGGGGGCCTATCTGGATCAAATTTCGATGCCAAAAACATGCGGCCCCTTCGCACGGTCAATTAAAGCCTGCGGTGCACACTGCTCTAACTCTAGATGGGCATGCTTCGGGGTCCCTGGGGCCAGCTTGCATCGGGGGCACGTTGCTTCGACCTCTGGATGAATGTCATGCGCTCTCTGGACAGGCCAAATGTTGCCTGTCGCGATGGCCTGGTGAGCGCCGAACAACGCAATTTCCCCTTTCCTGCGCAGCCCTTTGGGAAACATCCTGAAGGAATTCAACGGTGGGGTGCCCCTGTCGAGACCAGCTCCGACAAACTCGTTTGCAGCAGCCTGCCACATGGAAAGCGAAAACAACCGACTTCAAGCCGAAATGTCCAGGTCCCTGGCCGCATGTTTCTCCAGACGATGCCGAGTTACTCGGCATCGTCTGGACTGAGCCAGCGCCAGGCCCCCAAGGGTTCCCAGCCACAACGTAACAACAGAAAGACGGTGGCGGAGCATATGCCCCTCGCGGGATGGTAGCGGGCGGACGGCTTCCTGGCATTGAGGTCGGCGACCACCCTGTTCCAAGCGCGTGTGATGAGCTCCCTGTTGGCACCCGAAGTGGCCAGGAACAGGAACCACGAATTAGTGTATTAGCGATATCTACGTAGGTGTCCGCTTCAATAAGCCTCCCAGCGTGCGCCTCCACTGCTGAAGGACCGATGGAGGAGTACCATAAATCTTGCCCGCGTAGGAGACGCACGATACTGCAACCGTCGCGGCCAGACGCGAAACAATCCTGATGTGCGCCAACCTGCCTCTGGAAATGTTGGCGATATTGGTGAACCTGAGGCGTGCCTTCTCCATCCCCGTTTTGTGGCGAAGCTTACCTCCTCGGATGCGTCCCCTGTCGGTGCCTAGGTATACTGCCACATCCTTGAGCGGCACTTCGAGACCCATGGCCTTGAGCTCCGACTCCAGACTCAGGCATGCTTGCCTGCACGAGCTCAAGATGACTGACGTGGATGAGATCGTGAGGTGCAGCTGCTTGCAGGAGTCGGCCAAGATCTTGGAGACCCCCACTAGTTTCTCGATAGCAAATCGTTCTGGGGCCACGGGTCTTGTGTTCAAGTCACCGACCCAGGACCTCACCGTCGCCGATTTGAAAGACATGGGCATCTTGTTGGATAGGGTAAGAGAGAAGTTGGCCGACTCCTTGATGCTGCGAGGTGCGAGACACTGCTGCATGTCGAGGGCGAGGGTGTGAGGTGGAAGCTCAAGATCGTCAGCTGTCTCCATCAGGCAAGCACAATCCAGAGACTCGTAGAAGGCCTTGAAGTCCCCACATCACCCCCATGTGGACAAGATCCTGCGGGGATGTTTTCATAGGGAACCGAAAAGTGACATACACATAAAAACTCGGAGGTCCGCGCGGATTTCTCGGATCGGCGCTGGACCCCCCTCCCTGGCGCGCGGAGCGCGCCAGGGGCGGCGCTGGAGGCGCCGCCGGGGGGCCCCAGCGCCGATCCGAGAAATCCGCGCGGACCTCCGAGTTTTTATGTTTATGTCACTCTTCGGTTCCCCTACTTCACTGCCTCGTCGCCAGAGTTGCGTATCAGGACTGCCCTCCGTGAGGAGGAGCCTGCAAGCACTCCGTCCCTGGTGCCCAGCAGCCTTCTCGCACCATGCTCGGTCCAGCGGGCTGCGCAGGGCATCCCAAGACTCGAACCAGCAGTGCTGCTATGCCGACAGCCCTGTCGTCGTCGGTGGACTTCGGGAGTAAGCTAATGAAGAGTGTGAGCAACTGCCAGGGCCAGGAGACTCGCCCCTCAATTTCACACGGTATAAATCAATAAAGGCCTGCAAACCTTCATCAGGTAACCTGCGTAAGTCGTTGATGTCTAGGGCCTAGGGCCTCGCAACCCTTGGCCTTCTTGGGTGAGATAGACGTGCGGGTCTTGCGAAGAAACTCCACCGTGATGGGTTCCAATTCAGTGTCCATCGCTTTGTTCTGCGCGCGAAGGAAGGCTGCCTTCACCTTAGAAGTGGAAAACCGTGAACTTGACCATTGCTGGTGCCACCATTCCCACTTGACTTCCATGATGCTCACGGGGTTGGTGACCACACTCTGCGTAACGATGATCTCGTTAATGGTGATGGGAGGGTGCCTGATGAAATCATACAGCTTGCCAGGTGCGGTTGAAGACATGGTCGGGATCCAAGAGTCGACACCACGCCTTGCTGCAGTGGCTGAGCAACGCTGGACACGCAATGTATGATTCTGAACCGTCTGAAGGAACCTCTTTTCCTGGGGCATGGCACCGTCGAAGAGAAAGAGAAGGCGAAGGAGGAGGTTTATCGGCTCCTTTTCCTCCTCCGACCTTCCTTGGAACGGATGTATCCTCGCCCTGGCCCCCTCCGAAGGGCCCCGCTCGCCACCACGCCCGGGCGCGCAGCGGCCGCGGCACCGCGGCAGCGCTCCCCGCGCGGTTCTTCTCTCGTTCCTCCAGGGCGGTTGAGCGCATGGGTGTCCTTCTCCGCCATCCCTTCCTCCGCATGCCCCTTCTCGCCCTGCATCTCCCTCCTCGTCAGCACCCCCCTTCCCCGCCCTCACCCTCGTCCTCGCCCTCGGCCGCCCCACCTTCCCAGTGACCCCCCGTGCGCCCGAGCCTTGCTGAACACCCGCACGGCGATCTCGGTGCCTGAGGGCCCGGGCGCTCGCAGGACCAGTGCGGTGGTAGGATGCAGCGGCGCCGCCGAGAGGGAGCAGAGGATGGCCACCTCAGGATGGCACCCCTCCTCCTCCTCCTCCTCCTCCTCCTCCTCCTCCTCCTCCTCCTCCTCCTCCTCCTCCGTCTCCGTCTCCGTGTCCGTGTCCGTGTCCGTGTCCGTGTCCGTGTCCGTCTCCTCCTCCTCCTCCTCCTCCTCCTCCTCCTCCTTCTCCCCTTGTGGTCCGGAGCTCTCGCTCCGCGCGTCGCGGCGGCGGCCCCTGCGACGCGCTGTGCCGCCCTGCGAGCGGATAATAGCGTGACGCTCTCCGCTTCGCGGGGCGGGCGGCCGGGAAGAGCTCGGGGCCTTTGACGCTCAGGCGTGGGGGCGTGGTTCGCATGCCGCGCCGAAGCATGGTGGGCCAGTGCTCGCCGCACAACGCGCCAGGCAACCGCTCCCGAGCGCAAGTCTGTTCCTCCTCTTCCTGCTTCTCACTTCTCTTCCTCTTTCAATCGCAGCTCCGACACGCACCTAGTTTTCAGGTGCGTGGCCACTGGGCCTGGGCGCGCGGGCCTACCAGTTCAAGCCACGACCTGCCTCGGGTGTGCGTGCGTGTTTGTGTGTGTGCGCACGCCCTTCATGCGTTTTTTCGCAAAAACCCGGCGGAGGGCGACAGTCAGCCTGGGTGCCCGTGACCGCGCAACCCCATCCTCCCCTTCCTCCTCCGCCTCCTCCTGCTCCTCCTCCTCCCCCTCCCCCTCCCCCTCCCCCTCCTCCTCCTCCTTCTCCTCCCCCTCCTCCTCCGCCTCCTCCTCTCTGCCTCCGCCCTACATCCCTTAAACTCCCCCCCTCCCCTCCCCCCCCGCCTCTCCCCTCCCCCCCTCCTGCCTCCCCTCCACCTTCCTCCTCCCCCTCCTCCTCCACCGCCTCTCCCCCTCCCCTCCCCCCTCCTACCTCCTCCTCCTCACTCCTCCTCCTCCTCCTCCTCCTCCGCCTCCTCCTCCTGCCTCCACCTACTCCTCCTCCTCCCCTCCTCCTCTCTCCTCCTCCTCCCCCCTCCGCCTCCTCCGCCTCCTCCTCCTCCTCCTCCTCCTCCTCCTCCTCCTCCTCCTCCTACCCCCTCGCCCACTTCGGCTTGGGCCTTCCGCGCCCCCCCCCCCAGGTGCCCCTCCCGCAGAGAGCCTGGGGGGCCCAACTGTGCTGCCATGCTCGCTCGCTCACGGGAGCAGCAGCGCCCCTGCACCAGGGGGGGGGTGCTCCGTCGTGCGCGCAGCATCGCCGGCCAGCCCTGTGGGTTCTCGAGCACAGCCCGTTTCTTCTTCCACCCGTCGAGGGGCTCGCGGAGCTGCGACCCGGTCCTTCCAGCGGGGGCAGAGGCCCTGAGCGGGTGCTCCGACATGAGGACCCTGCAGACGAGCTCGGATGGACGGCTCGTGCTGGAAGTGCCGCGGCAGCGGGCGCCTCTCTCCTCCAGTCGCAGCTGTGGTTGCAGCGCTCTCCGCGGCGGCCGATCTTGACGGCGGCCGTGGACAACGCTGCAACAGGAACGCGAACGCGGACAAGGATCGGTCGAGATCGGAATTGGAACCGGGAGGCGATGAAAAGGAGGAAGAGCAGCAGCACCATCATCAACGAGAAGATACGAAACAGGGAGGACAAGGGATAATATTATGCTTGCTGGCATGTCGGTTCGTCTAGATGACCCGGTACGACGGACAGGGGATAAGAGGAGGAGGGGGATGGCCAAGGGGGATGGGGAGGGAGAACACGAGCGGGGAAGTGGGATAGGGGAGGGTGGATGAGGAGGGAATACGGGGGAGGGAAGGGGGAGGGGATGAAGAGTGACAAGGGGAAAGGAATCGGGAGGGGGAAGGGGGAGAGGATAGGGCGATGGAATCTGAAGGAAGGCAGAGAAGGGGAGGGGGAATGATAATTTCGCGGAAATGTTTCCACCTCTTCCAGCTTCTCCTGAACACTCTCCTCCTCCACCTCTTCCTGTTCCTCCTCGTGCAGACTGCAGGGGGGGAATATCTCATGTTGCTCCAAACTACGGTGCGAGTTGCCAGCATGCCCACATCCCTAATCAGATCCTCACTCTCAACTGGCAAAAGGGGCAAACACGCTGCGAGGCAATACATCAGACACATGCGACAAGAACTTGCGCCGTAAGAAATTACACTATAAGACGAGTACTTGGGCACAGCCTTCTTCGAATCCTGAAAGCTCCCGACATTGCCCAGGATTCCTGTGGGCCCCCAGGGCCATCGGGGGATAAGACATGTCTGAGAGGTGGGGCACTCGCTGGCAGGCGAGGAGGAGGAAAGGGAGGAGGCGGAGGAGGAGGACGAGGAAGAGGAGGAGGAGGAGGAGGGGGGGGGACAAGCTAGGTGCGCTCGCGTCATATCTGACGTCCTACCCCTCCCTCCCATCCCTTACCATGGCGCTGATTTTCTCTATCTGCGGACGCGTGTCGTAGCGGACCTGTGGCTCCGCGCGCGCGTGCGTAGTGGGTGGTGGTCACGTGCGTGCGGTTGCGTGCTGTGTGCGTGGTAGTCGTGGTGGTGGGTGGTGTGGTGGTGGTGGTGGAGTGTGGTGGTGGAGGTGGTGGTGGAGTGGTGGGTGGTGGGTGTTGGTGATGGGTGGTGTGGTGCAGTGTGGTGGTGGTGTGCTGGTGTGGTGGTGATTGGTAATGTGCTGGTGCGTGGGTGGTATGGGTGTTGGTGGTGGTGGTGATGTGGTGGTGGTGGTGGTGGTGGGGTGTGCTGGAGGTGGTGAAGTTGTACAGGTGCTGGGGCTAGGTGGTGGTGGTGGTGGTGGTGGTGGTGGTGGTGGTGGTGGTGGTGGCGGTGCGGCGCGGTGGTGGCGCGCGGATGGGCGCGCGAGAAAAAAGGCCCGCGCTGGGGCGAGAACGCCATCCTGAACGACGGAGGCCAAACACCGATCCGAAAATGAGGCCCACGCTGCAGCGGGAGCACGATTCGGAACGAATCGGGAGCAGAAATGAAGCCGGCGCCTCAACGAGAGCAGCATTTTGGGAAAAAATGACGCCGGCGCCTCAGCGAGAGTCGTTTCCCGGGATTTCCCGGGCATCCTGTGTAAAAAAACAGTACGCGGAGGGTGCGCGGCTATCACCCGGACGCCATCAGGGGAAGGATTCGGGAGCAGAAATGAGGGCGGCGCCTCAACGAGAGCAGCATTTTGGGAAAAAATGACGCCGGCGCGAGAGCAGCATTTTGGGGAAAAATGACGCCGGCGCCTCAGCGAGAGTCGTTTCCCGGGATTTCCGGGGCATCCTGTGCGTAAAAAACAGTACGCGGAAGGTGCGCGGCTATCACCCGGACGCCATCCGGGGAAGAGGGAGAGTATATTCATATTGAGTAATTGTTGAGGGGGAGGAGGAGGAGGAGGAAGTACGGAGGATGAGGTGGAGGAGAAGGAGGAGGAGGAGGAGGGGGGAGGAGAAGGAGGAGGCGGAGAAAGATGAGGCCAATTCCTTATGTGACCTGCCCACTGCACGCTAAAGCACAGAGTGCCCGGCCCGGGCCCGACAGCCTCTCAGCAGGTCCAGCGTGGTGCCCTCTGGCAGCCTCACCTGCAGCTGCTGCCGGATGTCCACCCGCTCCCTGGGCGCCTTGACCTCGGACGTCGCCGTCGTCGTCGCCGTCGCCGTCGCCGTCGCCGTCGCCGTCGTCGCCGTCGCCGTCGTCGCCGTCGTCGTCGCCGTCGTCTTCGCCGTCGTCGCCGTCGTCGTCGTCGCCGTCGTGTCCGTCGTCGTCGCCGTCGTCGTCGTCGTCGCCGTCGTCGCCGTGGCCGTCGTCGTCGTCGGCGTCGCCGTCGTCGCCGTGGCGCACGGCGCACGCCGTCAGCTCTCGAGGCGCTCTCGGTGCTCGGCGCCCGCCCTGCGCTATGGGCGCCCGACCTCCCCCCTGGCAGCAGAGGCCCCTTGCCTCGGGCGCCCGGCCCGACGCCCGGGCAGAGCTCAGAGCAGCTGCAGCAGAAGTCGAGCACCTCTACTTCTCCCCCCTTTTGCGGCGGCGGAGGAGGAGGAGGAGGAGGAGGAGGAGGAGGTCCGAGGCCCAGGCAGATCTCAGAGCAACTGCAGCAGAAATCGAGCATCCACAGGGCAGTTTTCATACATGGGATTGTTTACAAAATATGGGACTTTTAGTGCATGGTTCATTTATGGAAAAAATCATGCACGAACTCATCGTCGTTTTTACGACTGAACCCCTTCATTTTTTATACATGATCCGCACGCGGAACATGTATTAAAAACGGCACTGTACTTCTCCCCCAGGCATCCGGCCGCTCCAACTTCTGCGGCGCGTGGGCCCCGGAGGTCCCCACCACTGCCCCGCTTCCCCGGGGCCGGTTCTTCGTCCTTCGAGCCGTCTTTTGTCGCTCCCGAGGCCCGGCGAGGGCCCCTATAGAGGCCGGAAACGGCCAACACCCCGCCGCTCCAACTCTTTTGGGGCGTCGGAGCTCCGGGCGCTGTCTTTCACCGGCAGGGTGCCGGCTTCGCGCCGAAGCGTGGGGCGACGAGGTCTACACACACGCACGCACACACGCACGCACGCACGCGCGCACACACACACACACACACACACACGCACGCGCGCGCGCGCGCACGCACGCACGCGCACGCACGCACGCACGCACGCACGCACGCACGCACGCACGCCTACACACGACCCACAGCTCACAACGCCTGCGCCAAAAAACTCACGCACGGCAACGCGCACGCACGCACGCCACGCACGCACGCACGCCACGCACGCACGAGATCACGCAACACACACACACACACACACGCACACACACACAACTAACACAGAACCACACACACGCACACACACAGACACACACCACACACACACACACACACACACACACAGAAACCAACACACCGCACGCACGCGCGCGCGCACAGGCCACGCATGTCACGCACGCACGCCACGCACGCCAATGTCGATGACCCACCCTGGACGCCAGGGAGCAAGCGACACGCCCTCCTGGCCTGGCCGGGGAGATGCTCACATACCGCTCCTGGGCCGGATGGCCTCTCCGAGCAGGAGTAGGTGGAGGGGTAGGAGGAGGTAGGAGAAGTGATGAGGATGATGGAGGAGGAGGGAGGATGGGAGGATGAGGAGAGGAGGGGGGAGGAGGAGGAAGGAGGGAGGAGGAGGGAGGAGGAGGAGGAGGCGACGAGGAGTTGCCCTCCGGGGGGAGGGGTAGCTCGCTATGCGGGGGAGTTGGCGGGTGCGTATCGATACCGTCGCCCCAACATGCTGCAGCGACGGACGGATCGACGAGACGCACCCCGCCCCTGCTCGCCAGCCAGCCTCCACGCAGGCCCCGCGGCCCCGCGTCGACGTCCGAACCCCACCCCCGCCAGCCATCGACTCTCCAGAACCAATGTGATTTCGCCGCGTGCTCGACGAAATCCGAATCCTACAGTGCCGTTTTTTAATACATGCTCCGCGTGCGGATCATGTATTCAAAATGCAGGGATTCAATATTAAAAACAACGACGAGTTCATGCATACATTTATTCATAGATTAATCATGTATTAAAAGCATTGTTTTAATCCTATGTTTTAAGAACTGCCCTGTACCCTCGCTGCCCATCTGGGGAAACTGACAGGTACCGATACCG